ATTTAAAAATCTCCTCATTAACGTCTATAAATTGATCAATAAAAATTTCTTAACACTACAAAATTGACCCATACTATATAATTCCTTTTAAATAAAGTCTTTAATGCTTTAAAAAAAAAGAGTTGTTTTTTATAATTTTTTTTTGTAGTTTAGAAAATTGTATTTAAAGTAAATCCTTGAGAGACGAACTTTTAAGCCAATTTATTATTCTTTCTACTTTTATTTTTATTTTATTTGCTAATTTAAGACTCTTTCGAGTTTTTCATGTGCTCTTTTGTGGATTTAAATAGAATCTAAATCTGGTGTCTTGTTACATTTAATGATAAAAACAAATTTATATTATCTTCATTAAACTATATTTTAAAATTGTACACGTATATTATACAATTTATATCTCTACAGAGTTTAAAATTTATAAAAATGTATTGTTATTGAAATCAACTTACAAAACTTGAATATTTCAAGCTCTTCTTTGTGGGTTTAGATAGTGTCTCAACCTGGTCTCTAGTTACAAGTGATAGTGTTTAACTATCAATTGTAAATTCAAATAAATATTTTCTATGTTAATCTATATTTTAAAATTTGACACGTATAACATACAATTAAAATAGCTTCAGAGTTTAAATTCATTATTTTGCATTTTTTTAAATTTTAACTGACAAAACGGTTAGATTTTTATTTTTCATGTTCCATACATAATATGTACATTTTTACCTAAATGATAGTATTGGTTTTGAAAAAAAAAACTATTTCAACATTAAAAAAATTATTTTATATCTAATTTCAATATTATATATTTTAGCTTTATTTTAATTTAAAGTGTACTTTTTTGTTATATAGGAAATGGGTAGCCAAGCAGAAATTGATTTATTTGATAGCTGTGTACATAAAAGTTCATTCCAAAAAACTCCAGTCTCTATGATTCAGGAACTCTCAGCCCGAAGAAATATTCCATGCCAGTTTGACATATTAGATAAAACTGATCCAATTTCAAACAATGTATTTAAGTATAGATTTACATTTGGTGAAGGAGTAGCTGTAGGTGATGGAACGTCTAAAAAATTTTCAAAACAAGAAGTAGCGTTAAATATGCTTAAACTAATTAGGCAACATTATCCACTTTTTTTTGAAACTGAATTTAAACCAATTGATTATGAAAACCAAGTTGATGCATGTAACAAAATCAATGAAAACTGTGTTATTAGTTTAATCAAAGTATGTGCCATTAAAAACCTTGGAGAACCTGTTTATGAGCAGATATGGGATGAAGTAGAAAAACAAACAAGATTGCTTACCGTTAGTTGTCAAGTAGCTCAAAGGATTGAAATAGCAACATACAAAACCAAAAGACAGGCCAAGAATTTAGCTGCCTTTCAGATGCTGAAAAAATTAGAATCCATGGAATTCCAAAGATCACTGAGTCCTGTACAAAACGACTCTATGAAGAATTTGGAGATTATTGAAATTAATAAATATCAAGAAAAAATTTCAATAAATGCGACCATAGAAAAAGTATATAATTTTTATTACCCTTGTTGCCCTTATTATCCAAATAAAGGATCTTTCCCATGTCAAAATATCGCTGTATTATTGCAATTACACACATCTAAAAAATGAAAATCGATACAGTTTTTTAAAATTTTTTTTCCCTAATGGCTATAATTCAATAAATTTCTTAATAATACAGAATTGACCCATACTATATATTTTCTCCTAAATAAATTCTTTAATGTTATATAACCGAGTTACCTTTTAAAATTCATTTTTGTAGTTTAGAAAATTATATTTAAGTAAATGCTCTAAATAATAAGGTTTAAATCTTTTTATTATTCTTGATTTTTTAAATATTTTAATTGATTATTTAAGGTTCTTTTGAGTTTTTCGAGTTCTTTTTCATGGATTTAAATTGAGTCTCAATCTCGCCTCTAGTTACAACTGATGATAATACCAAATTAATTTTTTCTACATTAAACTATATTTTAAAATTTCTCACATGTAATATACAATTAAAATCGCTCCTGAGTTTAAATTTATTATTATGCATTGTTATTGAAATTAACTGACACAACAGATGAAATTAGAAATTTTCTTATTCTAAAGATAATATATGCATTTTTATTTGAAATATGGTATTAGTTTTGAAAGAAATTCAAATATTTTCATCATTATGTAATTAATTTTAAATTAAATATCTATATTAGGAATTATAGCAATATAGTAACTAAAATTGTAATTTTTTGTTATATAGAAAATTGATAACCAGGCGGAAAGTGATTCACAAGATGGCTCTGTACACTCCAGTTCATTCCAAAAAACTCCAATCTCCCTGATTCATGAATTTTCGGCCAAAAATAAACTTTCGTATCAATTTGACCTCCTATTCAGTAGCGTTTTAACATCAAAAAAAATCTTTAGATATAGATTAACATTAGGTGAAAATCAAACTGTAGCTGATGGATCTTCTAAAAAAATTGCTAAACATCAAGTAGCTCTAAATATGCTTAAACTTATAAGGCAACATAATCTGCACTTATATGAAACTGAAATCAAACAATTTGATCTTAATAACCAAGTTGATGTTTGTAACAAAATCGATAAAAACAGTGTTGGTATTTTGGCAAATATATGTACAAATAAGAAACTTGGTGAACCAGTTTATGAATTAGTATTGGAGGAAGTAGACAAATACACTAAATCGTTTACTTTTAGTTGTCAAGTAGCGCAAATGATTGAAACAGCTGCATACAAATCCAAAAGACAGGCCAAGAATTTAGCTGCTTTTCAAATGTTGGAAAAATTAGAGTCCATGGAGTTTCTCGGATCAATGACTCCTGTACAAGAACAGTACAACTCTGTGAAGGTTTTGGAGATAGTTGAAAATATCAAATCTCAAGAAAAAAATAAAATAAATTCGGTAATATGCATCTTATTATTAACATATTTTTAATGTTAATTCATAATTTTAAACTATCTAGTTTTTCTAAAGTTTTCACTGGATTATGACCATCCAATTCAGCCCTCCTGAAAGTACTTTAATATATACGTAATCCTTATTAAAATAAAGTGTATAATTTACTATCAATTTTTAAAGTTAATAATATAATAGTTGTGATAATTTAAACTGAGTTTTTTATTTAATTTTCGTTTTTACAATCCAATGATGGATTGATGAAAACCACAAGTTTCGTCATCGTTTTTCTTTAAAATTGGATAGTTTAAAAGAATATTAAGTATTCTTTTGACTAAATGGATATTGTTAGTATAATGAATATCCTAACTAAAGTAACGTTTCAGTATTTTAATAAGTGGGAAGGCTTCTATTGTTAGTCGATACTTACTAAAAATAACCGAGTAGATCAATTTTGCTTTGAAATTACAATTGTGTGAATCACAGCTTTTCCTCTTTCAAACATATTGTGGTAGTTTTCCTATTGGATAGTTTTGATTTTGAGAAAAACTAAATATTTCAATATTTCAAGAGTTATGTTAAATTTTTACTTTTAAATTAAACATTTTAGCACTTTATGTATAAATATGGAATTTTTTGTTTTATAGGAAATGGGTAACCCAGCGGGAATCGATTTACAAGGAGAGTCTGCACATACAAGTTTATTGAAAAGTGATGCAATTTCAATAATTTATGAATATGCGATCAAAAGGAAAGCTCCTTGTCAGTTTAACCTCTTAAACAATGGCGCTTCAGTATCAAAAAAAAAATTCAAGTATAAATTAACATTAGGTGACGATCAAACTGTAGCAGATGGAACTTCTAAAAAAAGTGCTAAACATCTAGTAGCATTAAAAATGCTTAAACTAATTATGCAACATAATCCATGTGCTTTTAAAACTGAATTTAAGCAAATTGATTTTGAAAACCAAGTTGATGATAACAACAAAATCAATGAAAACAGTGTTGGTCGTTTGTCCGATATATGTACCTTTAAGAACCTTAAAAAACCAGTTTATGAGCTAGTACGGGAAGAGGGAGAGCCACACACTAAATTGTATACTTATAGTTGTCAAGTAGCTCAAATGATTGAAATAGCAACATACAAGACCAAAAGACAGGCCAAGAATTTAACCGCTCTTCAAATGTTGGACAAATTAGAATCCATGGAATGTCAAGGATCAATGAATCCTGCACAAGAACAATACGGCATTTTGGAAAATATTAAAATTAACAAACATCAAGGAAAACAAACAATAAAAGCGGTAATACGAGAAAAATTATCCTATTGTTAATATATTTATGATTTAAATTAATAGTTTAAATGTATTCAGTAGTTCCATAGTTTTCACTCAGTAGTCAGTGTTGCTTTAAGATAATTAAAAATGTGTCTGGGTGAAGATAAAAGATAAAACACTATTTATATGGATAAAATAATTTTAAGTTATTTTAATTTTTCTACATACCCTACAGTTATTTTGTCAATTTATATTAGATTTTACAATCCACAATTTCTATAAGAATTTAGAATTATAATAATTAAACGACCAGGATTATATTATTAACTATTCCTTTTGTTTCTAATTTTAGTATTTATTTGTACAATGTTAGTTTACTAATGACATATGGGTTTTAACTTTCAAGTTTAATTTTTGGAATTTCACAAATAGGTATATTTACAGATATTTCTTTATCTAGTTTAATAACATTCGATAATTCAATTATTCATCTAAGATCATTTATCATATGACTTACTTTGTTTATGTTCAGAATAAGATGAAAGATTATTTATTTTCTATCAAGTTAAATTATTTAGATAATGCTCAATACTAATATGTAAGTTGGGTCTTAATTAATTTTCGTTTTAAGGATCCGCTGAGAGATGAACAAAACCGACTAGTTTTAATTTTTATGGCCTATTAATAGTTTAAACAACAACCTTAGCGTTTTTTTTGACTAAATAGATAATATTAGTAGAAGGTACTCCTTAATAGTAGGACATTTTCAATACTTCAAAACATAGGATAGTTTCGATGGACAATTATGCATTTTGGTTACTAAAAGTGTGATTTTTTTTGTTTTATAGAAAATGAATAACACAGCAGGAATAGATTTACAAGGAGAGTCTGCAGATACAAGTTTATTGAAAAGTGATGCAATTTCAATAATTTATAAATATGCGGCCAAAACGAAAATTCTTTGTCAGTTTAACCTATTAAACAATAGCGCTTCAGTATCAAAAAAAAAATTTAAGTATAAATTAATATTAGGTGACAATCAAACTATAGCAGATGGAACTTCCAAAAAAAGTGCTAAACATCTAGTAGCATTAAAAATGCTTGAACTAATTAGGCAACATAATCCACGTTTTTTTGAAACTGAAGTTAAGCAAATTGATTTTGAAAACCAAGTTGATGTTTGTGACAATATTAAAGTAAACAGTGTTGGCTGTTTATCCAATTTATGTGCCATTAACAACCTTGGAGAACCAGTTTATAAGCTAGTACGGGAAGAAAGAGAAAACCACACTAAATTGTATACATTTAGTTGTCAAGTAGCTCAAATGATTGAAACAGCTACATACAAGACCAAAAGACATGCCAAGAATTTAACTGCTTTTCAAATGTTGGGAAAATTAGAATCCATGGAATTTTACCGAACAATGAATTCTGTACAAGAACAATACGACTCTATGAAGATTTTGGAGAACATTGAAATTGATAAAAATCATGAAAAACAATCAATAAATGCGGTAATAATAGGGAAAGTATCTAATATTTATTAGCTTATGTGATCTTATATTCTAAAAAAAGGCTCATTAACACTTCAAAAGATGGCTAAAAAATTGATATTACAAACATTTAAAAAAGCAAAATCGGTATAGGAGTTTAAAAGTCTTATAACTAATGGCTATAATTTAATAAATTAAATTTCTTAACACTACAAAATTGACACACAATATATAATTTCTCTTAAATAAAGTCTTGAATGTTATAAAAAGAAGAGTTACATTTTAAAAATTATTTTTCTAGAAATTTGTATGTAAGTTAAATCCTTAAGAAGTGGAACTTTTCAGCCTATTTATTATTCTTCCTTTATTTAATTTTTTTTAAATTGCTCATTTAAGGTTCTATTGACATTTACATGCGCTTTTTTGTGGATTTAAATAGAATCTAAATCTGTTTTCTAGTTACAACTGATGATAAAACCAAATTAATATTTTCTACATTAAACTTTATTTTAAAATTTGAATCATACATTATACAACTATATCGCTTCCAAGTTTGAAATTTATTATAATGCGTTGTTTTTGAAATTAACTAATAGAAAGGTTTGAATTGCCATTGTTCATGTTCCAAAGATATATGAATTTTTATCTGAAATATATTATTGGCATTGAAGAAAATTAAAATATTTTCAACATCATAAATGTTATTCTAAATTTATATTTCTGTATTAGGAATTTTATATTTATAGCTACTTAAAGTCTAATTGTTTGTTTTATAGAAAATGGATAATCCAGCGCCAACTGACTCCAAATATAGTGGCCGTTTGTACAAAATATGTAAAATTGAGAATCCTAGAGAACGAGATTTTGCGGCAGTTGTGGGAAATGGAGATCCATCTCAATCATTGTATACTGTAAGTTGACTACACATATTTAGGTGTTTCCCAACTATTGGTCGTATTTTTATTTTATATAATATTTTTGCCTGTCATGTAGTATTTTGGTTAATATATTATTTTATTTTGTAATAAAACATACCTCATATCAATATGTACATGTGAACTGTAGACTAAATTAATCTTAGGGATAGTTACAATGTTCCTAGATTTTGTTTGACTATTTTACATTTATGTAAATCTACATGTTGGTAATTTTATATACAATTTTGGGTCCNATTAGCGGTCCTATTTTTAATTTATATAATATTTTGGCCTATCATGTAGTATTTTGGTTAATATATTATTTTATTTTGTAATAAAACATACCTCATATCAATATGTACATGTGAACTGTAAACTAAATTAATCTTAGGGATAGTTACAATGGTATTAGATTTTGTTTGACTATTTTACATTTATGTAAATCCACATGTTGGTAATTTTATATACAATTTTGGGTCCCTATGGTTGTTTAAAATTATTAGATTTAACAAATAAATTGTAATTGTATGCGTAGAAAATGTTATTACTGAAAAAGAAATTGTTTATTTTGTTATCAAAATAATTATTATTCACAAAATTATACATTTTTTATACCCAAACAGTTTTATTGTTGGTTTATGGTTTTAAGAAAATATAATAAAAATATTTTTAATGCCACAAAAGTGATTTTAAATAAAACTTTTATCACTGTCGTAACTATAATTTTAATTTTTTGTTTTATAGAAACTGGATAATCCTACGCGAATGGATTTCGAAAGTGGAAGTCCGTTGTACACATTTTGTAGCATTGATCNATAAAAATCATCAGTGGTAATTTCTACTATTGAAGAATATGTGTCTGTGTATAATAGTCTAATACTGTTTTCAATACATTATAATAAAAATCATAAATTCGAGCTTTAGATAAATATAAAATACACATTCCTAAATAAATTGTTTGTTTTAATTTAACATTGATTTTTTTCATATGCCCAGCTACTAAGTTTTCTATAAAAGTAGTCACTCAATCAAAATTTGGTTTGGCAATCAACTTTTCAAATTTTTTTCTATCATTAATTAATTTTATATCTTTAAGGTTTCTTTTGTTCATCATAGTCTTACCAAATACATTGTTGTTCATTAACTTAAAAAAAAATTGATACAAAAAAATCTTTTTCAAATTTATTATCTGTTTTTGCATGAAGATTTGTGTTAAATTCTATATATGTTTTCAACCAATATTTTTGATAAAATTTTATTACCCTATGTATTTTAAACCTAAACTTACATAATAGAATATATTAGTAGAATATATTTTTTCTTATCATATATAGTTGTTGTTAGTTTAGGTAATTTTTTACTATCATAGTGTTCTTTATTTTCTAGGTTTTGAGATTCTATTCACGATATTCTGTATAGTATTTTTATGAAATCTAGGTATAATATTTACATTTGGGTCATTTATTTTATGTTTAAATTGTCTTAGAAAATGGTCTGATGAAACACAGGATTAATTAAGTGAAATTCAAAAAGAATTGGAAGATGTAATAATAAATTAGATTAAGTACTTCCTGATAGAAATATCGATTTGAAGACTTCATAATTGAAACACCAATATATTTTATTTAAAGATTAAGATAGGGATAATTCTTATATGTTTTTAAAAGGACAAGATAAATATATAAAAAATAGAAAAAATATATATAGTAAAGCATATGTGATTACAATAGATTCAAAAAAGAACCCAAATCCTATCGATTTAATAAAATAGACTTAAAAAAAAAATTCAAAAATTCAGTGAGGATTATTGAGCTGATTTTATGGAAGAATATAATTGTTCAGATGAATGTGATTAATTTATCTCCTTTAGACAAACGAACTTAAACGAACTTAAAAAAAAAAAATAATGTATAGGGTAAATAAAATATTTTTAAAATATTACGCTAAAAAGGAATTTTAAAGGATTATAAACAGATTAAATGATGAAAATTATAATGTTTTATACTTGTTCTGTTATTATTATTAAAAAGATTTTTTCAAGTTTCATTTAATTTGGTTTTCTTTAAATATTAAAATTTCAAAATTTTGTTTTCTGTTATTCTTCATTATAGAAACTTCTTTTATTAGTTTCATTATTTAAGTCTTTAATTTTCTAAATAATTTGATTTGTGTACATTATCTCTGCAACTATGAATATATATATATATATTAATGAATATATTATGTCCAATTAGAATTAAATTTGTTATCAAACGTTTTCTCAACTTCTTTATAACTAACCATATCATCAATAGTAAATTTAATTTTTGATTTAAATATTTCATTTGCGAATAATTTAACAAAAACAGTTTTTCTTCATTAGATTTGTTTACATTAAATGGTATCATTCTAATTGTTCAATGAATTTCTTTGAAATATTTTTCGTTCAATAAATCTCGTTAAATATCAACCCATCTTTTATTTTTCTGAACTTCAAACTGTATTCTAATTTTACCATTAAAAGTTCTGTTGAAACGTTCAACAATTACAGATTTATTTTAGTTTTATTAAGATTTTCTTAAACTGTTTATTTACAAACTCTGTTCCTTTATCAGTGTGAAGTAATTTTCATGAATTTTGTTTCTGTAGTTTAGCTCTTTTTATTATTTCTTCAAAACCTATAGTGACATTTTTCCCATCTTTTTTTAAAAGAGATTTGGCACAAGCAAATTTTGAAAAAGTATCTATAACATTCAACATATATAAATAACCTGAATTTTCATCACCATAATTTCTCATTATAACTAAATCTGCAGCCCACAAATCATCAATACCATATGTTTTTATTTTCCTTTTTGGAAATCGAGATCTTACTGGTTTATCTTGTTCTGTTATTTTTTCAAATTTTATTTTTGAAATTGTTTCTTTTTTTAAAGGAGTTTTAATAAATTTACTTTTGTTTGTTTTACATTTTAAACATTGTGTTGAAATTCTCCATAAACCATTTGTTGTTNTTGGAAATCGAGATCTTACTGGTTTATGAAGTTCTTTTGCAAAACTTAGTTTATCTTGTTCTGTTATTTTTCAAATTTTATTTTTGAGATTGTTTCTTTTTTTAAAGGAGTTTTAATAAATTTACTTTTGTTTGTTATACATTTTAAACATTGTGTTGAAATTCTCCATAAACCATTTGTTGTTTGAACCTTGATTGGTTTAAAATTTGTAGTTTTCTTTTTACATTTGTGACAGTGTATTGGTTCTAAATATTCTTTTTCCATATTTATTAACATAATAAATTCATTTTTATTGATATTATATAATAAAAAAAAGTATAAAATGTACTATATATTAAAATAAAAAACACGACCTCGGGATGACGAGAGCGGCTTTTTTTTTATTTTCAATAATTAAGATAATAAAATAATTTAATTAAAAACTTAAATATTTTTTAATTATATTTTGAAAAAAAATAAATTAAATCAAAAAGTTATATTTGTTTTCTTATATTACAATAAAGATATATTTTTAATATTAGATATGTTTTCTAATTGTATTATTAACAATATCGTATATATCGTATTTTTTAGTTTAATAAATTAATATCACTTATACTTAATTTTTTTTNCGGTTTAGCATTAATTCGCTATTAAACGAAAAATTTCCGTGTAATGACTGCGATACATTCAACTTTTTATGTGTGGAAATTACGACTGATATTTTTTCTTGGGTATTTAAAAAATTTCCGTTTGGTATGTCTAAGATTTATAACGGTTTTTAATATATCATCATCCGTTTCCGGTAGACATTATATTGTCTTACTATAGATACAAGTTGATGGACTATTTATTATGAACGTTTAAAAAATAAAATACCAGTGGTCCTTATTCGGTAATATACATTTTTTCGAAAAGATATTTTTCAAGTATAAGGTTACGATATCAAAATAAAGAATTTTTTTGTTCTTTCACTAATTATGGTTTTTCGAGTTTTAAGTTTACAAAAGTTTTCAACATTCTTAAGTTTACAAAAGTTTTCAACATTCAAGTTCTTTCACTAATTATGGTTTTTCGAGTTTTAAGTTTACCAAAGTTTTCAACATTCAAGATTCAACAGAATCAATTGGGTGATCGTAGGCTAAATTTTTATTTTTATTTTATATAATTATTTTGTTAGTTTTGTTAAATGTTTCTGGTACAGTTTGACATTTAAAAATATTAGGATAAAACAATGTAAAAATTATTGTTAAAATTGTGATAAATATCAACTGCGCCATAAAGTATATTCTTATACTACTTACCTATTATTGATAAGATTTTAATAATATCAGTATTAACGTTGAAATTAAATCTATATATTAAATACATCGTAGACATTTGTAATAATCTACCAGAGATTTGAAGAACGATCACAATTATTTATTATTTTTACAAAGATAATTGTGAATTTTTAACTTATTATTTTTTTTCAACTTTTATGGAAAAATCTAAATTACTAGTCAAAGTCGATCCGCTTTTGAAAAGAGAATATTATCATTTAATGTTAAAAATAAATATCAATTTAGAGATATAAATCAATTTTTCAATTATTCAAAAGAGTTAAAATTTAAAAATTAAAAAAGATTTAAAAGAGATAAGTAATTTTAAAATATGTTTTACAGTAAATTGTAAATATAACAACAAGAAAAATGATCAGATATGTTACTTTTTGCATGTTTTAGAACAGAAAGTGAACGTTATTTTCATTATACTAATTTCAATAATATTATAACAATATGAATGAAACAATACAACCTCGAGAAGAGACATTTGTAGCAAAGTGTTATGACTCGATATTTAACAGAGTTATAAATATAATCCACTTAGGGGAGCATCATATATTAAACTACCAGATTGGATAATTAGAAAAAAAGGTATTATTAACATAGAAAATAGAGATAATAAATATTTTCTATGGTCAATTCTCGCTGATTTACATCCAGCGAAAAAAGATAAAAAATGAGTTAGTAAGTATAAATAATGGGAAAATGAATTTGATGAAGTATTTAAAAGTTCAAAAATTCAATTTTCTGTAATAAATAATCCAATTCATAAAATTCTTTTTAAATCTATGGTCTAATAATTCTTGTACAGATGCAACATTTTTTACATCAAATTTTTTTATAATATTATCTTGAAAATCTTGAAGTATTCCTAAATTATTACATTTTTCCCAAAAATTTGTAGCATATTGAAGATGAAATTGTACAAACGCACAATATACAGATTTTTTAAAACTACAATCTATTGCAACATTGAGTGCGGACAATGATTTTTTAATTTTAGAAATAAATTTTTCAATTTGTATACTCCAAACAAGTTCCCGATCAATTATACATCGTAGACATTTATAATAATCTACCAGAGATATTGAAGAACGATCACAATTTTTTATTATTTTTACAAAGATAATTGTGAATTTTTAACTTATTATTTTTTTTCAACTTTTATGGAAAAATCTATATTGATATGGAAATATTTAGAAATAATTTATTTTCTATAAACAATTCCTAACTTTAAAAAGATCATTATTAGTTTTTTCATACAATTCTTCTGAACTACCTCTGTCTACTATTAGAGCTATATCGTCGGTAACATATAGTCATGGTCGTTCGGAATTCGCCGCATCTCAATAAATAACTTGAAAAAAATGTTTGGGGTTGCGTGTGTCTTTAAGATCATCTATAATATAACAACATGTTACGTCGTAATATTATAATAATATTTTATATTCAAATATTATGTAAATTGATTACGGGACCAGTACAACTTGGTGAATACTAGTATAAACAATGTATAATATAAATATAGAGGAATAAAATACAACCAACCAATACGTATGATGATACATTATACAAAATAGTGTATATAATTAATGAAATAAGAACAAATAAAAGTTAGTTAATTGATTTAATTGCGTGTTTTGAATCGATGTTATGAGAATAATATAAAAAGCAAACAAATTTAAAAGTTTATTAAATTTAAAATTATTGAACACAAAAAAGTAATGTCAATAATGTAACTTTTGGTGATAAGTTAGTCAACCAATTAAAATAAATTAATACACACTGAAAGAAAGGAAAATAATTAAATTAACCTAATATTTATTATTATTATTATTATAATTAGGTTTTTTTGTGTTTTAGCGTTGTAAACAATTTAATGATTAAGTTCATGAGAGTTATAATGTATTTCGGTTAGTATATGGTTTCTGAATCGTTAAGGCATCAATTTTTAAATTCGGTACTGAAAAATTTCATAACACTATCAAAATCGAGAAAAAATATCATTGAAAAACCATAAAACATATCATACTATGGAATTGTATTTGATTTGGCCGTACGCTGCGGTCAAAACAACCCTTCAACTTAATGTCAATATTTTCGTGTCACACTCACTAATTGCGCATGTACAAAATAGTTGACCGAATAGAAAAATCATCGTTTTCGTTTAAAAAATTAATAATTTTATTTAAGATGAATTTATAAATATCATGTTCCTTGACCGCATAAGCGTAACTAGGCTTTAGATTCGATCCCCAGACTTTCCCACAGACCCTCCAGAATTTTTGGGTAAATATATGTGCCTATAAACATACTAATATTAACTTAATAATATTCTCAATCATAATAAATAATAATCATAATTAAAGCTATATCATATTGTTTTTGTTAGTTTATATTATTATACATAATTATATTATCGATTAGACATTCGACATATTTGTTTACAGATTCTTGATACAGTTACTTGAAACTATAGGTATAATAATACTAGACACAAATATACGGTAACGCAGGTATTATATTATTATAAAGCTATAAAAATCCCTAAAAAAAACAAAGCATTTGTATACATTATAAATTATTAATAAATCTAAATGTATTCANTTATCGATTAGACATTCGACATATTTGTTTACAGATTCTTGATACAGTTATATTAATAACACTTTATAAGACATAAGACGTGTATTTATAATTTTTCTTTTTAGAACATTGAATTCACATTAAACATTTTTAAATTTACCTACATTATTGAATGGAATCGTGGAGAGATATTTATTTGAAACTATAGGCATAATAATACTAGACACAAATATACGGTAACGCAGGTATTATATTATTATAAAGCTATAAAAATCCCTAAAAAAAAACAAAGCATTTCTATACATTATTAATTATTAATAAATCTAAATGTATTCATCGTTTTTCTAGATAATACATGTAAATTTAAACTTATAACTGTGCGGGGGGGGACGTATGAATCTAGTTAAAGGACTATTTACGCCTATGACCCTATGCGGTGTATTTTGCAGCATGTGACACGACCACATTAGTGAATAGTGGAATAATGGTGTAGTAAGTAGGGTATTAAATTGATCACATTTGAGAAAATATATGGACACGCGTAGCATCCATATAGTATACAAGATTTNACGAGATGGAGAAACAATAGCCCAGGACAGAGACAGATGGAAGCAAGTTTGTGTTGCGGTAATGGGCCTCAATGGCCAAAAACCGATGAAGAAGACATTCGACATATGTGTTTACAGATTCTTGATACAATTATATTAATAACACTTTATAGGACATAAGACGTGTATTTAAAATTTTTCTTTTTAAAACATTGAACTCACAATAAACATTTTTAAATTTACCTACATTATTGAATAGAATCGTGGAGAGATATTTATTTGAAACTATAGGCATAATAATACTAGACACAAATATACGGTAACGCAGGTATTATATTATTATAAAGCTATAAAAATCCCTAAAAAAAACAAAGCATTTGTATACATTATAAATTATTAATAAATCTAAATGTATTCATCGTTTTTCTAGATAATA